CTATCAGCACATCGTTCACATTTCATGGTCACTACTTACCTGTTGTGTGGTCACAGTCTAGGTCACAAGTCACAACGCATGGTCGTTTGTTTAATCACATATTTTCAAATTTATTAGTCACACGTTAATTTTTAATCACAAATTGTCTAATTTTTAGGATCGCAGTTAATCTAAATAGTTGGTCACATACACCACGACCAACACCACCGCCACCTCCTGCCCAGACGCCAACTTCACCATCGCAGCCAAAAAATCATTTCCCAAGCTGGACTTAAAAGCAACCTGGATGCCGCACCACAACCATCATTAACTCACCAAACCGCCACATCACAACCACCGCCGCCACCAACAATACAACATCCACCACCATATCCAACACCCCACAAAAATCACCACAAACCACTGTAAAACGACACAAATCCCGCGCAGGGCGCTTAGTTCACCACTGCGCAGTGGCGAACTGAACGTCACTACTAAGGTCAACGACACTCAAGGCGCCGCAGCTCAGATCTGTAGCTGGAGCAGCGACGATTTGAGCCGTTCTCAGCAGCATCGGCTGGCATATCTCCTTCGTCGCCGGTTGTCGAAGTTTGAAAGGGCCGTCGGTTGCCGAAAAGAGAAAAGGGAGAGAAATGAAGGGGGAGAAGAGGAAGAAAAATGAAGAGAAAGAAGGGACAAAAATGAAATAAATTTTGGGTTTGGGTGTGTATAATATTTAATTATTAATTTAATATCTGATTTTTGAAAAGTAAAACCTTGTATCTGAATTTTGAAATTGAATTTTAAAAATTCTTGTTTTATGTAATTTCCACATAATTATTTCAATTACGTGGGTTTGATTTTTGGGCTTCCGGCCCAAATTTGAAATCGTTTGCTGACTAACGCGGTAAATTGACGCGAGGTCTATAAATACTTCTCTCTCTCTCTCTCCCGATTCCAAAATCTCCATCCTTTCCAACCATTTCTCACCGTTAATTACATGCATAAAAATGTCTGAAAAGCACCATAAGGGCTGTACATAATTCTCTCTCTATATAGCTATACAAGTGCATCGAATTCGCGATACCGATTTCTGCTTATGGCGTTTCGAGTTAACGATAGCAGTGGTGAGTATACACGCACTTATAATTGAGATTTATTTATTATTGTTCAATTTGTTAATTAATGGTACGTCGATTTATGCATTATCATTTTAGATGCTATGATTTTTTAATTAAAGGTTTTTAGCGTTTCCTAATAAATTTTTGGAATTCTTGGAAATTAAACCTAGGGTTTATGATTTTTATGGTTAGGGTTTGTAGGAATGTGTTTCTGGAATTCTTCTAAATTAAACCTAGGGCTTAGCCATTGTATGATCCTCGTTATTTTCAAATGCATTTTTCTCTTGTTTTTAACCACTCCTCCTTCAAGAAAATAATATTACATGCATACCCAAAACTTTCCCTTATTTTTTAAGCCTGCAATCTCCATCCATCTTCTATCCCAAAATACATTCTTAGAAAAAAAAAAAAAAAGGGGCTCAAACAGGCACAACTTGAAAAAAGAATATCTGGTCCTCTTGACTTCCAATTACTCTCTGTGAGATTTTAGTTCATGGAAACCACAAATTTTAAGTTGGTTTGCATCAGTGGATATTTGGAGATTGGATTGGAATGTGTGAAGGAGGAGCTTAATTCGAGTTTCTAGAGTATTAAATAAATCGGAGCTTTCAATATCCGGAGGTAAGATATTGTTTCCCCTCGAGGTTTATTAAATGTTTGAATTATGCATGAAAGGTTCCAAAATTATTGTAGTTTTTGACTATGATGCACCGACACGGACACGTGTGTTTGAGACGAATACGCCGACACGCGATTTTTAAAAAAAGTACAGACATGACATATCATCGACACGTTGATTAAATTCTTAAAAATTCTTCATTTATACAGTATAAATTTAGTTTTATATTTGCTATTAATTTTTCTTGTTGAATTTTTTTAAACATGAGTACGTATTTGTTACGTGCTAATAACTTTGAATTAACAATATATAAAATTATATAATATGAAAAGAAAAATGATTACGGTAGGTATTGACTCATGTCCGATACGGACACACTACCCTAATTGAAGTATACGTGCTACAGAGGTTTTTGAGATCTTTTTTTATGCTTCATTTTTGAGGAAAACTTGAACTTAGGGTGCGTTTGATTGCAAGGGTGGAAAATGGATGGAAAGAAAATATTTTATAGGGAAAAGATTTGCCTAGAAAATGTTTTGTAGGGAAAATGATTTCAAGTGTGTTTGATTGGTATAATTTTCCACCCGGAAAATTTTTAAATTTTCTATTCGTTTGGCTTTATTTTACATGGAAATTGTCCATCAAAGTGATATTTTTTCCACAATTGGTTATAAAATTTGTTTCCATTGCCAAAAAGTAAAAAAAAAAAGGAAAAAAAATTGTTTCCTAAAAAATCATTTTTTTCATCAAAGTTTAGTGTTCGTTTGACTTTATTTTACATGAAAATTGTCCATTAAAGTGAATTTTTTTTTACCATTGGTTATGACATTTGTTTCCATTGCCCAAAAAAAAAAAATTCCAACCAGCTAGAAAAATATTTTCCCACCAAAAAGGTGGGAAAACATTTTTATCAAACACNCATTTTCTACAGTAAATCAATTCTCATTTTCAACCACACATTCTTCAATAAAATAATATTTTCTATCGCATCAATACTTTTTTCTTCTTTTTCAACTACACATTTCTCATCATATCACTATTCAAAAATCAATTCATCCCCCAAAAATCCCTACCAAACACACTATAAGACATGTGCAGAAAGGTTTATTCTCATTAATCAATTTTACAGTTCACTCATCATTTTCATTTGTACAAGTGTTCTAAATTTTGATTTAGATGGTACCTTCACTATTTATCAGTTATGGCTTTGTTTGGCGAGTGATGGGGGAGCAATGAATGAACAATAATATTCCTTCTATCAGCTATTGCAAATACTTAGTTATAGTTTATGCTAGAAAATGTAATTATTTTTCCTTTTGTTGATGATTTGTTATCATTTTCTCGTGGATATAAGCCCTTTCTGTTGAAATAAGTGCAGGCACCGATGATGATCATCCACAGACACAATATGCTAGAGTTCCAGTGGGAGGTCGTGTAGCAGTAAATGGAAGATCTTTTGTAGGCCCAGATCCATATCAAAGAATGCCGAGTGATATGGAGTCTGAAATCCATAACCTGGAGCAAATAGCATATGCTGCAGTCCTACAAGCTTTCAAAGCACAGTCTGATGCCCTTACATGGGTATGTGATGTTGCTTTCTTTATTCTTTTCCTGGATGTTTGGAAGCTGCGTATTTGGTTTTAATGCTTCATAATATGTTTGTGGTCTTCAGGAGAAGGAGGGTCTAATAACAGAACTAAGGAAGGAGCTAAGGGTGTCAGATGATGAGCACAGAGATCTACTTACCAAGGTCAATGCAGATGATCTCATTCGTAGAATCAGGGAGTGGCGAGAAGCTGGTGGGATTCGCAATGCTGCATTCAATGTCCCTCAGCATTTTAACGATCAACTACCCAGTCCCACAGTGTCAGCATCTCGCAAGAAGCAGAAGACACCCCAATCAGGAAATCCATTCGGGATGCCATCTCAGTCATTACACCTTCAGCCTGCTACCACACAGCCATTGTCTACAGCTGGGAAATGGGGACCTGCTTTAGTAATGAGTGGCAGAAGACCCAATTCCGTACGTTCGAATATAAATTATGGATATTTGTGATGCTAAACTAACTTTTCATTCATCATTCTATTATCTCCTCTTTTTTATAGGGCCAGCAAGCTTCGACCCCAAAGCCCATGCAATATCAGATTAACAACCTTGGTTCTTCTGGTGCGCCTTCAACCAATGACCTTGCCGAAAGTACACATGATCCGTTAATTGGTAGGAGGGTGATGAAGAGGTGGCATGAAGACAACAACTTCTATGAGGCTGTCATAACCGAGTATAATCCTGAAGATGTATGTTCTTCTTCTTTATTTTTATTTTTTTGGTTCCTTAGTAAGGAACTAAGGATCACTTTAATGGGGGTGTATTAGGTTGAATATGCCTTAAACTGGATTAAAAAATAATTGTTATTTTATGTTCTATGTGTTTACATGGATGGGAAATAGAAAGGTGAAGAATGGATCCCATTTAAAATCTTTGCCAGAGAAACTATACAACTAGGTAGTGTGGGATTTTAAAAAGAAACAATAAATGCATTGCGTTCAGGATTTGTTTCCCCTTTTATACCCTTTTGTGCTGTGCATCATGTAGAGAATCACCGTTGCCTTCTCATTAGCGTGAAACTAAACATCCTTACTTATCTTCTCTTTTACATACTATATGATAATGGATGATCACTGTAATTAATATTTTGATATACTTGGCATGTTGTATGTTTCAGCTCATCCATGTTGGTACTTGCCATTATTAATTCTTTTTATATAAGACATATTTGCTTTTATAATCTTAACATAATTCTTCCATCAGAATTATCAAATTCCTTTTGTGTGTGTGTGTGTGTGTTTATCACCAGTTGTAGCAATTGATGATTGTCTATCTACTTTATAGGGTGCATTTTTAATTTCAAAAAGGGGAATTTGGGGATGCAACATTGTTATGGATAAGTGATGAAGCATGTGATGGAACTGACATTTGAAACATGCCAAAATATACACTATTGTTTTAAGGCAAAAGTATATGAAATAGATTATAATTTTCATTGATTTTCTTCTATTTGACTTATTTCCTTTCCATATTTATTAGGTTTATGTTGTGATTAGGTAACTTTCCATTTTAGCTAGGGCTTTTAAATGTAAATGGCATTTTTGTCAGATCTGTCTAATATGGCCGGCCTTAACTCTTTAATATTATAAGTAGTGGTGGCATTTGGTTTGTGAATAGTTGAACAACACTTCATTTAAATCCCCCTTCTACTTCACGTTCCTCTGTATTCCAAGAGAACAGCATCCCGACCATTTTAATAAAATCTGAATAGCATCTCCACCATTTGTTCTACAAATTACCCTAACTTAAAAAATGCTATCCAAGTTAAATAAAATGTACTTATTCTAGAAAAATATTAGTTGTGAAAACATATATGGTTCGCGTGTGTACTGAAGCAGAGAAGAGAATCATGAAATACAGGCTATATCCATTACCTACTGTGTTTGCCGGGTACACAATAAAACTCAGATTTGTAATTGTAGTCTGTGAAATTACCTTTTTAATGAATACAAGAGCAACAATCAAATTTAAATATTAAAAAATATGCAACCGCAGGATCATATTTTATACATAGTTATTATCAACTGTACGTACAGAATGATAGAAAAGAACTTGCGAATAAAAAGGAATCAAAGGAGAACTAAGCAAGAGAGATAGAGATTACAATGAAAAAGGAAGAGAAAGACGGCAAGTAGAGTTGGAAACTTTAATGAGTTGTTTGGGAAAAGTTCCTTTATAGATCCGTGTGATTCTGATAGATTTAAAAGTTAAAACTTAACCTTCAAGCTAGAACTTGAGTATCAACTGAACTTACAAAACCGGAACCGGTTTAAATGGGCTTTGTTTTCTGGGTCAATGTCTTGTGCATTTAAATAAAGATCCAGAACAGCTCATAGGCTGGTTCTCCTGTCAAAATTGGCTGGTCCGGTTTTAATAACTATGATAAATAGGACTAGTTGTTTTGATATATGTAGATTATTGATTTACTGATATTTAGTGATGTTGATTAAAGGATGTGTTTTCTTTCCTTTGACCCTTTTCTATTTTCCGTTCTGCATCAAAAAGGTTTACATTGAAGGATGTATGTTGACCCAGGGGACTATGATGAAGCAATCTCAAGTTTCTCAAATTCTGTTCTTGTTTTTCCTAATTTTGTGTTTGTTCAGGGTCGCCATTCTTTAGTTTACGATATCAATACTCCAAATTCAACAACGGAGCAGGTGCATCTCAAAGAGGTATGTTCTGTTGTTTCTATCAGCTTAGGTATGTTCATTTGAAGTTACTGTGGTGTTGTGATTCATCTACTCGTATATAAATACATTTAAGAGTTCGTTTTGAATTCCTGAGTTTTGGGGCCTTGGACTGGGATATTGGACATGCATTCATTATTTTGATTTACTCATGAACTCAGAAAGCACATTTTTTATTGATTTTGTAAGTTATACAAATTGAATGTCCATTTTGAACAGCCCATCTTACTTTAAATACCATTATGTGAAAATAAAAAAATAAAAAGTGGCAGTAGTACTTAACATAAAATGTGATTTAGTATCTGTATGAGTGCAACCCACCTCCCTAAAATATTTTGACTATAACAAGCACCTAAAATGTCTCTGAAAAGTTTTGTCGAGTTTAATGTGTATATTGTATACATTTAAGCAATAATTTCAATAATATGATCGGACAAGAGAAAATGACAAAATTGAAATCTAGATACTCAAATGGTCTCAAAAAATTCTCGTGTTCTTTCTTATTGCTTTCCTTTATTCTTCTGGTCATATTCTTATCTTGTTTAAACTAAACCCAAGTATTACTGTGTTAAAGTTTTTTAGAAGATTAGTTTTTAAAGAACCTTAAAAGAACAAGTTTTGAAAGAGGAAACTCTTGAAAAGGACTGAGTTAGAGAGAGAAAATGAAAAATGGCGTATCTTTACAATTTTGCTACAAACATACAATTAATCCCAAATCATTTTCTTCCATTTATGTCCTTTCATGGACTTTGTTGTTGTTTCATGGACAATGCTTCATTTAAAGAATGGGTGATATCTAAGACTCTATTACCTATTCTTGCTTTCACTATCCAAAGACTTCTGTACTTCTTAGTTACTTTACTATGCCTCTATTAGGTGGAGATTAAAATCAGATTTTTAGTAGATTTTGATACAAGTTGAAGAAATATGTGGTTGAAAAGTTGTAGGTCCCATAAAATGTGTGATTAAAATTAGTTGTTGAATTTTACTTAGATTAAAAATTGGATTTTAATTTCTACTGAATGTTGGGCTATATTTACTTTGTTTAAGGTAGGTAGGTAGTTAAAATGTTTAATTTTTGTTGCGTTTTGAAACTCGATATGCCATTTTGCCCATAAAAAGTCGACCTAGTATCTAACTAACTCAACGATTAGGTCGAGCTATCCAAGTGCTAAGCTCAACTAACTTAACCATGGCGTCAAATTGGTCGACTTTTATACTCCTTCACCATGAAAAATGGAAGTTACTTTTAAAAAGTAAAATTAGACATTTAGCATGTAATGAATTTGTTTAAATGAAAAAAATATAAAAAGATGGTCAATTTTCACTTTTGTAGCTATTTTGTGAAATTGCCTAAAGTAGGATGCAACAAAACAAGAACAAGATTGAGAAAAAGAAATAGGAAGAACGAAGAAGAAATAAAAGAAAAAAAGAGAGAATAGAGAGACTTTAAGGGGGATAGAATCAATTTATTTCATATAATTAAATTGTAAGTATTATAATGAATAAGTTCCCTTTAAATAGGGCAAATAAGCTAAATCAAAAGTTCTTTTAATTAACTAGAGCATTATAACATAATTTGAATTAAATTTTACTTTAAAACTCTTTTTGAATTTTATCTTTATTCTTATCTTCATTTTCAATCATTTCTTCCCCGTTGAGTGAAGACGACTTCGATGAGATAGACATCAACTTTTTAACCAATGAAGCAATCTTTCTTCCTAACCAATTAACGACATCGATCATATCTGAATATGCAAATCATCCTCAGGACTATGATATGATCATGGGGGACGATCTTTCCTTTTAATCAAGTACCAATAGTGAACTCCAAAATGTTGCATAATGTAAAATTCATCCAAAAAATCAATTTGCTGCACATAATGAGGAGCATAAAGGACTAGCACAGTAGACTGACCTGTAGAAATAAATCATTGGAACAATGGTGGCTCGAATATACCCCGATAAGGAAAAAATTATGTTATATTGAAAACATAACTTTTATTCAAGTATGATGACTAATCAAAGATTAATTTTAAGTGGGTGATAGAAAAGTTTTCTTTACATGTTTTTCTAGAAATTGTGCCAAAGAAATACATGACAAAGCATAAAAAATACCGTGAAAGCATTCATGCCTGAACTCTACGTCAAAAGCAAGCTCGTTATTTTAATTATTCAAATAAATTCTGTGGTTTATCTCAGCTTGAAAATTAGGAAAATTAACAATTGAGGTCAGAGCTAAACAAATATGATGATAAGGCAACAATTTGATGTAGATGAGAAAAGTATGCAAACAAACAATGGCTTTGGAAAATGTGTCAACTCAGGAATTATTATGCCGTTGAGGTAACGCTACAACAAAATCAATATTAAAGTCACTTATGCACAATTTCAGCACAAAGTCTACGACATATGGAATGTTTGCGTTAGATGGAAATGATATATGTAATCCAATTGTCAATGTTAAATGTATCGACTATAGGTGTGATTACGAAAAGGGTCGCAATATCGTACTCAAAACTCTAATCCTTTATGCAAGAGAGGAGACAACTATTCTATAATCATCGAAACAAACCCTTGAAGATTTTATAGATTGTGACAGGGTCTGATCTTGGTAGCTCACTTCCCAAAAAGTCTTGCTACCACATTCATTGCAATAGGAAAAATCTCATTATTTTCTTTTTCACTCAATCCAAAAGGAACTTTCTTCTAATATAAGGGTCATATTTATCTCCATGAATGTGAAGATATTCCTAGATGAGTTTACTTTGGGGCTAAAAGAAAATGTTGGTACATGTCAATTATAATTTGCATATAGTCTAAATCGACTAACATGATGATACAATACCTTACATTAGCCATAGTTTCAACTATTTTAACTCCCTTATTATACAATTTGGTGGAGTTGTCGGATAGGAATGCATTGTTATAATTAATGGAAAGTTATCATGCATTGTCTCATTACTATATGGGACATCGAGTTTAATTCAGAATATTTTACTAAGGCAAGAAGTAACTTCAACCTGTATAACAAATGTGGATGTTTTAATAGCTCATCGAATATCAATGCTGTGATAACTAGGGAAAGATATGTATGGAAACAACAGTTGATTTGTCTACTTGTGAGATAACAATCTCAATTTGTTCAAGTAATGGTAAGAGTTTATTAAAAGAAATGAAGGTCGAAGAAGATTTTTTTTTGATTGTTAACAATTGGTCTCCCAAGTTTTTATAAGCACGTCATAACAATTGTTTTAGCAACTATTTTTTGTGATTTTTAATAAAATTTATCTATGAAAATACTATATGCAAAAATGTGGATTTTTTATTTGATATTTTGTTAATATAAATAAGTCAAAACATCTAAATAAAAGCAAAAAATTTCAACATAAAAGAAGATGATATTCCATGAGGCTCAAAAGAATCAAACAATGTCCAAGTTATCATATTTAGGCCGGCATGGCTATGGTTGAAAAGCACACTTGACGTTGGGTTGTTGTAATTGACTCTCAGAAGACGACTTATCAAAATTAATACAACGGTAGAGGTGAGAGAGTTTTTTATTTTTTGGATAGGGTGGTTGTATTGGTGGTCGACGAGTTGTAGCCGCGGGCAGCTGAACTGGGCTAGTTTTTTGGTTGTCGAAGATGATGATGATGGTTATGAGGTCTGGTGAGTTGTGTTCAGTGGACTTGGAAGGAGTAATAAATGGGTAGGGTCTGGGTTAATAGGTTAGGACGTGTGGGCTGAATATTATATGCTTTTGCTTTCTAGATTGGGTTTTGTCAGGTTAATAGATCGGGTTGCATTAAGATTTTGGTAATTTAAACAAGCACAATTTGAATCAAACTATATTTTAAAATCATATCTAAAATGTATCTAAATTCTTTTATGTCCCATCAGTGCCCTTGCCTAAAATAAGTACAAGTTCTTACTATAATTTATTTCCCCTTCTCCCAATTAAACCTGCCATTTTGTTTTGGTACACTAACAAATGCACCCTGTTACCATCTTTCGGTAAAAGTATCCATGATCCTTAAAGCTGTCTGCCATTTTTTCATGAGAATGGAGAAGTGTAGCATTGGGAGGGTGGGGGTGGAAGTTACATGTCAAACTTGGTAAGAAGTTACAAGTCGAATGAAATAACTGCTTGTGGAGGCTAAGAGTAACAAAAAGTTTTGTTCATAACCTATTTGGTGCTTGTCGATGATTTCTGGAGTTACATGGGCTTTCAGATGCGTAGTTAATGTTAAGTTTTGTTCATATAGTATGATTCGTTTTAGCTGTCTTCACCTCTTCATAGCAAGTATATGCTACTTGATGATGATAGATACTGGAACTTCATTACAAATGATTCTTTAATACTGGATGGTGATTCAGATTCCTCCGGGGGATATCAGATGGGTGGGTGACGATCCTGTAATATCTCGATTGGGTGAGGCAGGTGGACAAGGCACTGTAGTTACCATTCCGAGCACTGGAAGAGGGAGAGGTCCCTCTGGGAACCAATTTACAACTGAAATCCTGCCATCACAAAACAGCACTATGGAGGATGAGGGAAAATTTGAAATTCTTGACACAGACAAATTAATAGAGAAGGTGTGTGTATCTTACTGTAAAATCTTGCCGCTTTGTAAGTTTGCTTGCTCATACCCTTTTCCTATGGCAGGTGGAGAGGGTGCTTGATGCAAGTCATCCTGATGAACTTGAGATTGAAAAGGCTAAGAAAATGCTCAAGGTTAATACTGACTTTTGAGTCCTAAAAAATCTATTAATGTCTAGCAGCTTTCTGTCTAATTACAGTAATTGGTGATGCAGGATCATGAACGATCACTGATTGAGATGATTGGAAAACTTGCAGATGTGTGTGATAGTGGTAATGAAGACAGTGCTCTCTCTCTCTCTCTCTCTCTCTCTCTCTCTCTCCCTCTGTGGGTGGCCTCTCTCTCTCTCTCTGTGGGTGGGTGGGGGGTGTGTGACTGCTGAAAGTTTCTGGAATCTAATGATATGAAGAATGCTTTTCCATTAACTGGAGAAAAAAACACTTGTTGGCATGATTTTGTTGTGCTTATTTCACAACATGTGCAACTGAAACCAAGATGGAAACAGGAATATAACGTGTAGTTATATTCAAACCACCGAATTTCTGTTTTTGGGAGGAATCTTTGTTTTTATTGCTTGGAGCTTTTATGTTTTCTGCTGATAGCTTTAGGAAAGTCAACAATAAAATAGTTCTGTTTACATGCAAGATCCATTGTGTTCTATTTTCAATTTTCTTATTATATTTTATTTGCACATGTCAGATGGAGAGCATCCATCCTAGCATGGACACTCGGGAGGTGAATAGTGTGTAAGCTACTATAGCTGCCTTAGCCTGGCGTCATAGGAATGGCCAGAGGTTAAAGAACCATGGACGATTGGCATGATGTTTAGTTTTAGAAAGACAAAGTGTAAGAGTAGAGAACCTAAATATGTTGTTATTAGTTTGTTATCCTGCTTGTACATTGCAAATCATTTTTAGAAGGTTGTAGTGCCCAAAGCTGTTTATTGGCTTTTTCATAGATTTCTATTCTCAAACTGTATATTGGAGCTGTTAACATCCAAATAAAGTAGATATTTTGGGATTATGTGACCATGTGACATCATGTTATAGCCATCCTAGCTGAATTCATTATTAGCTTGAAGCAAATTGATAGGAGATCGATATATTCTTGCATATTGGATGGATTTAGTAGGGGCCATGAAAGTTTTGCATTTTCTAACAACTAGTACACAGCCTAGCAACAATGAAACGTTACTTTGAACAACTGGAGAAGCAACAACCTTGCTACTCATATAGCACACTAATTGAAAATAAAATAAAACAAAATATTGTCCAGTTCCTCAGCAGTTACTGAAACATCTATATCATCCCAGATGATGTTGCGTTTGAGACCTCGTAATGAGGCAATGAATTCTGCGATCAGATTTACCATCAATTAGGTATGTATCTTCGTGACCCTTAGCCATTTCAGCTTCTTCTCCAGCAGTGTTGACACTAGTGAAACCATCTTCGGTGCCCATTATGAAGAGTTTGGGTTATGAAGACCCAAATAAAGCTTTATGGTGCCTACGCCGTTAAACCTAACATTACCAACAACTAATTCCACCTTATCAAATGCAGAGCCAGCGATAGGTGCACCTGGGAGCAAGGAGTCAGAGCGCAAAATGAACTTCAGATTCAAAACCAAGGCCATAATAAATCAAACTGTGTGGCGAATCATATGGTGGTAAGCACACTTAGAAGATTGCTACACTCCTTGACAAAATTTGATACCGAAGTTGAAAATGTTTTGGAGGGAAATGACTTGAGTTCTATAGTCAATGGCAACCTTTATACCATGAGAAAACAGACCTTTCAAAGCACATGACTAATGGCCCTGCAAAGATATACTAAACGTAGCATATCCTTATTAGATGCCGAGTACCAAATAGCTGCAAAATTGAAGGCCTCACACAGAGATCGATTTGATGTCTCTACTTTCAGAAGCCAACCAAAAAATTGTACTTGCAACAACCCAACAGAGAGCATGTAACGCTCTGAAAATTTTAGAATAAATTTTTATTTGTTTTATATACTATATTTTTAATATTTTATATAAAACAAATAAAAATTTATTCTAAAATTTTCAGAGCGTTACATGCTCTCTGTTGGGTTGTTGCAAGTACAATTTTTTGGTTGGCTTCTGAAAGTAGAGACATCAAATCGATCTCTGTGTGAGGCCTTCAATTTTGCAGCTATTTGGTACTCGGCATCTAATAAGGATATGCTACGTTTAGTATATCTTTGCAGGGCCATTAGTCATNTTTTACATGACAACTTTCATATAAAGCAGCTGTAAATAGCAAGTATATATATTTTTAATCAATAGCACGTTTGATCAATTAAGGTAAGATGCGCTTATGCAAATTGTTTGTTTCCTTATACTTTATATTCAGTAATTTATGCATGAATTGCTAGTGGACATTCGGGTTCTTTATTAAGAGATAAGAGATCCTACAGGAATTTAAGATGACCTAAGATGGATGTGTCGCTTGTTCACTGATATATTCCATAAGAGAAGAGTAATATGAAGTGTTTATTTTATTTTTATATAATTCTGTATGGAAAATGCACGTATTTTACCGGGTATTTGTAAATACTCACTCTTACAAAATTTTACAGGTTAGTTCGAATCATTGGAATAGTGACGAGATGGAGATGCGACTGTCAAGAGGAATCGAAGAGATAAAACATAATTAGTTAGATTAATTTGTTCAAAGACAGTTATTTAATTTGTGATTATGTTTTCATTATGAGTATTCCAGTTATTTTTATTTAAAAAAAATTATTTTATCGTTCCGCGAAAATTGAATTTTTGGTAACACTCCAGTGTTTATGAAATTTTGGGGTGTTACAGAGCATGAAGATATTTCTTCCAGAACTTGATTAACTGATTAGCATAATTAAGATGTTTTATCCAAAAATTTTCCTAAAAGTAGACAAGCAACTTTAAAGACTGAAGTTAGTTTTCTCGAGTCCACAACTTGAAAGAGGTAAACCAAAGCTTTTCTGCCTCTTTGGTGAAATAGGACCACTCTCCTTATCCTCTCCCTACCTACCATCAAATTCTCAATAGAAACAATACAAACTCATGTACATATCATTTATGGCCTTGTATATGCCAAGAATTGCAAGTTTGGTCTTGTAATCGTCCAAATTTGTTTCGCGTGGGTTGTCGCTGACAATTAAAGAAGGGCTCAGATAATTATGTAAAGAACAGACATCTTGAGACAAAGTCCAAAAAAGTGGTGTTTTATTGGCAAAGATTTACAATCGGAAATAAATAGAATGCCTCCAAGGGGCGCAAGCACACGAGTACTAAAAGAAGTGTTTTAAAGTTAAACGAAGAAATTGAAATTACATATTCTCTGTTGAGAGTGATTGATTCGAGGTCCTTCTCTATATCTTCGTTTCCTTTTATATTCCCTTGATGATTTCTTCGTGATACACTACTTGGAAACTGCTTGATTGCTCTATAACTACCCACTTTCTTTATGGTGGCTGACTTGTCGTGGAACTGCTGTCTCTAACCGGTGCCATTACTCTTGTCGTTCAACCGCCTACAATTGGGATCCTTGGATCGTGGGGTGTGATAAATTTGCTTAGTAACTACTTCAATAACTGCTATTTTGGATAACTATAACACCTCATATTTACTAAGATCCTAGGCGATTTGAAGGTTCGGGCGAGAACGGGCTCATTCGCCTTGGGCGATCTTAAGGCACTCCATTCGTTCAGATCCTGGGAGTCTTGCAAAATTGGGCGATGATGGTACCTCGTCCGTGGGCCTCCACTGCATTTATTAATGGTCTTATTTGGGCTTTCATCCTAGACTTCTTAACTGGGCTTCATCCCTTGGACCATTCAATTTGGGCTACACTTTTTGTATGTCAACAATTACCCCCCAATATAGTAGAATTAATACCAACTATTAATCCTTGTCATATTCTTTCTTTGTATTTTTCGACAATATTTGAAATTCCCAAGAACTTCAATCATTATTTCCGTTTGGCTGTAACCCTTCTATAATCTAAAAAGGTGCAACGTTACAAACCCCAAAGACACGCCACTTCATCGCGCTATCACCTTCACGTTTTCACACCGTGTGTTTTATAAAGGGTACTGTTCATTGTTTTGCTTCTTCGCTACGCCCCTCAAGAATTTTCACCAAGACTGTATTTTATTGCAAATGGCGACTCCACAAACCCCTTCTGATAACATCCTTAGTTTCGAATATTTCCAAACCCTCCTTGCCGGCCATATATAGACTCGACTTTTCTCTTATTAGCTAACCCAGACCTCAATAAATTCTATCTGGGTCATCGTTTAAAGACATTGAATCTATCGAAAAAGTGGTGGTGGGTCAGTTATTTCCTTGTACTTAAGATCCTTCTTTTCTGAATCTGTTTCCTTTAAAGTCAATCCAGGAACGAGGTATTCGTACTTGGCCTAAATTTGATTCTACTTTTCATTTTTGGCATACACGTTTGGTAAAACATAGCCCCACCAAAACGATTTTTGATCGTGCTGGGATTTCGAATTTACTAGAAATTGCACTCCATCCCCCAATCTATGACCCGGTGCTTTTTCCGACTGCATTAAGTTTTTGGTCTTCAGAATACAATACTTTTATTTTTCCCCTTGGCCCAATGTCTATTACCCTGAGGGATGTTGGAGCCCTTGTAAATCTTCCACCCTTGGGCGATACCATTTATCCTGGCATTTTGGTCACTAGTACTGCCCCAAAGTTTGATAAAAAACTTATTGAGTCTTATTCAGGCATGCAAGGCCTTTAAACTGCTTCTAGCTCTGAGCCTTCTCATTTTGAGCGTGTAGCCTTTCTTCAAGTTTGGCTCTGTAAATATGCCCTTTGCGTGCCTAGCATGAAGCCTTCGATGAGTTATTTACCCATAGCACATGAGTTGGCACGTGGTAGATCCTTGAATCTTTGTTCGTTGTTTTTAGCCGCCTTTTATATAGGCATGGCTTCCCTCCAATTTCAGTTGAGANGACATCTTCACATTCTTTTACATTTTGAATTCAACTTCTTCATTCATTCCTTTTTCTGCTCACGATATTCCTATTTATGTGCGACCTCCCTCTACTATGGATGAGGCGAGTATGTACTTGCCTATTTGGGCTCAATTTTTGACCGGGAGATAGCTGTTCCATGATATCGCAACTGGAACAAACAAAAAAGCTGGGGTCGAGATATATGTTCCCCAAGTCTTTGCTCATCAGCTTCGTTTGGGCCAGACATGGCTTGTTCCTCTTTATTTTTCTAAGAGTTTAATAGACTGGTTTCATGTCATAAATAGAACCGAGGCACAAGCCATTGATGCTCGTAATAACCTTTTGACTAAAGGTTTCTCCTTGGTTCCTTTCAATCTTAGTTTTGTTACTCACTCTCTTTTTGACCAACTTTGGCCGTCTGTGAAACAGAGACTATTCACAACTGACGCTATCGTACTTTCCACCTGCTGGATCAGTCACGAATTTTCTCTACTTCTCCCATTCTTGCCCTTCCTGTATCCATCAAGGGTCCTCCTTCACCTGCTCGCGCTAAACATCTGGCCCTTCCATCTGCTTCTCCTTCTGTTTGTGCTAGTGCAGCCAAGGGTGTTTCCAATCGTAAACGGCAGTCTCATCTTCACCAGTTTTGCCCGTTGATGATGATGATGGTGCTCCTCTCATCGTCAGGAGAAAGGTATTTAAACTTCTTTATTTGTGAAAAAATGACC